GAAGTCATTTATCTGGGATCAACAAAGTTCTCCATAAATCAGCCAGGAATGTCAGGAATGTTGCGCAGGCTAATCCCTGCTTCTTTGGCTGGACAGGTCTGGCATTCGCATATATTCCGGCAATATTCGGACACGATACAGAGGTTACCTGCGAAAAGTACCAGTCGTGGAACGGGCAAATGCGAGGCCATCAGCACTTGGCTTGCTTCGAGCTCTGAAATTTCGTTCCTTAAAAAAACACGTCGCAATGCCTGATGAAAGTCTCATGATGAAGCGAAAGCGATTCGCCATCTGAAGACAAAAGGCCGCCAATGTCACCGCTGCTACGTCGCTACACGGCGGTTCTTCAAAGACCAGAACAGACAGCTTCGATGAAATAATCCAACGGAACAATGGGAAATTTCTCAAATGTACAAAATTCCCAAGGCCGCGGTCAGTCCTGCCAGCTGGTGGCAAAGTATCATACACCACAACGACACAGACTGTTGCGGCTGGCGCGATTCGTCGCCCAATAACGACTGATCAGTGTAATCCAGGTGATTCGACCAGCTGCGACTGTTGAGGTTTCGAGATTTATGCCCCCTTGTTATGTCTGTAATCTGCATATCTGTGTTATGTCATCTGGCTTTGTGTTGATGATTCACATACGATGTTTTTCAACAGCTTTATGAATTTCCTGGCAATAATTACCGACACTACATCAGATCTTGAATCAGCGGCATCAAAAGCAGAGGCGTGACGCAGATATGAGGCAATGCCTAGATAATATCGCCATATGGGCGCAACCATCAGAGAATGTCTTGCATCCTAGAAGACATTAAATTTGCCAGCGAGGTAAAAGAAGACTGCAAGCAATTCTTCTTTGACATTCACGTATACAACAGATTGGAAACTGACGCCATTGGACATTGCAAGCAGAACAATATTTTTTAAAAATTTTGCAGTAGCTTTTACAAATGACAGTGAACTCTGTGTGTTAGCATATATGGCAACGTGGCTTATACGTGCCAATAAACTTTGATTGCAATACTGAATAACTGATAATGCACACTTAGCTGATAAATGTTAATCAGAGTGATTTTATTAAAGCAATGCAAAAATTAATTGGACCTAACAAATAGCTTAACGTCGGGAATTTGAATTTTCGTTGGTATGTTGCATAAAACACTCTCTTTTATACACAATGCCCACAAATTGGTCCATCGATTAACCAGTTCTGAAGTTTCGGGTCGTGTATCAGGAACCTTCTTCAAGATGAATTTCCCTCCTTCGTTGCTGCTGCATTATTTTGAGATAAGAGTCCTCTAACGGGCTGACGTTTAGCAGGATTTAATAATTAGTGCCTTTGTGACAAGCACCATATGTTAATAGCAGGTGCTACGTCATATTAAATGGCG